TTAAACATAACTTTTTAATGACACCATTGATGGGCTCTCAGACCACACTCTACTGCGCTCTCGACGATGAACTCGCAGATCAGACGGGATATTATTACGAGTAATTAGTGTTAAAATTATTTATAAATTATTTTAAAAAATTAAATTTATTTTTATATTTTCATAGCAACTGTCGTCGTGTGGATCATATGATACCCGAAGCCATTGACGACAAGACTGCCAAAAGTCTGTGGGAATTGAGCTGTGATTTAGTAAAGCTCGAACAGCATCTCAGAATTTGATTAAGGTGATTTATGTATAACTATTGTAGATATTGTGAGATTTAAAAAACTCAATCTACATCTACAATCTATATGTATGTATTATTTTCTCGGTGAATTAATATTGAAAATTGATAAATAAAATTAAACAAAATAAAATAAAATAAGTTTTATAAATAATTATTTTTTATAATAATTACTGTATTTTCAAAATCATGCATAGTATGAATGAACAACTTATTTTCATTTTATTAATGCATAATTTCTAGAAAAATCTTTTACTTATTGAAACACGAATAACAAGTTATAAATAAAATCAATAATAATAATCGCATACACTATTAGCTGATAGACATGCCATGCAATACATATCCCTTCTTACAGTTCCGTCTCATAAATACACACTTTTATATGCAATTCAATGGCAATTGTTTAGTGCTTTTCAAGTCGGTGTATACTATGGATCGTTTGAGAGAGACTTTGATTTATACCCTTATTCTACGTGTCCTTCAGCTTAAGTGCAAAATTAGTCGTTAATTATAACGCAATCCTCTCTTATATTAAGCGAATTCACTGTACATTCAGTTATATTATGTACACAATTACTGCGATAAATTCGTGATACGTTTCTATCTGTATATTTATATATAAATATCATAGCATTTATCGCCCAAACACTCAACAATTTGTTTCAATTTTTATGTTTTCGTATTACGTTTGACTAAAATATATAATAAAGTGTAGTATTAGTGAAAATACTTAATATAATACAGTATATAATAATTAATAAGAAATTCATTAAACAATGGGAATTTTATATCATCTTAAATTAAAATATATTTGGCGTTTTATATGTGTTATTTTTTATGAATTTACTACTAATTTCATTGGTTGGCGTAATAAAGTGACCAGTGGTAAAAACCTTAATGGACAGGTAGTTGTGGTGACCGGCGCTAACACAGGCATTGGTAAAGAGACTGCATATCAGCTCACACTTAGAGATGCAAAGGTATGAAAAATTTAATTATTAGTATTTATTTATTTTAATACAACACTTGATAAATAATAGCGTATTTAAAATAATTGGTACAAATAAAAAATTGCATTTAATTGTAAAATACAGTGTTTTATATGTTTATTGTTTATATCGAAAAAAGGTGTATATCTTGTGTCGGGACCAGAAGAAAGGAAAAGCGGCCGTAAAAGACATTCAATCATTGAATCCAAAGGCAAATATAAAACTACTTTCGCTGGACTTGTCTTCACTCACATCTGTCCGCAAATGTGTGGAAGAGTTGTCGGGTTTGGAGACAAAAGTCGATATACTTATCAATAACGCAGGAGTTATGGCCTGTCCTGAGTGGCAGACGGAGGATGGGTTTGAGATGCAGTTTGGGACTAATCATCTAGGTATGTTAAATTATTTTTTACCAATATGCAGTAATAAACTAAATATTCAATGCAAACCCAATTTAAAAGTTTGTAATTTTACATGTTATGTTAATCCCATGCAATCACTAAATATTAAAGAATAATATTATCATAATTAATTCAGTTAAATTACAATTTAATTTATAAATTACAGGTCATTTCCTATTTACTCTACATTTAATACCATTGCTAAAGAAAGCACCGGCGGGTCGTATAGTGAATGTCTCGTCGACTGGACACCAATTTGGCGAAATTAATCTGCAAAATATAAACCTACGAAACGGTGCATATCATAACTTTTTTGCTTACGGACAGAGCAAACTCGCAAATGTGTTGTTTAGCCGTGAATTGGCCAAAAGGCTCCGCCACTCAAACATTAACACCTATAGCCTAAACCCCGGGGCCATTGACACTGATCTGCAAAGACATGTCGACCCATCGGCCGCTACGGCTACCGATAAGAGTTGGTTTAGGCGTAACTTTTTTATGACACCATTGATGGGCTCTCAGACCACACTCTACTGCGCTCTCGACGATGAACTCGCAGATCAGACGGGATATTATTACGAGTAATTAGTGTTAAAATTGTTTATTAATTATTTGTAATTTAATGTTATATTTATGTATTTATAGCAACTGTCGTCGTGTGGATCATATAATACCCGAAGCCAATGACGATAAGACTGCCAAAAGTCTGTGGGAATTGAGTTGTGATTTAGTTAAACTTGAGGAACATCTCAGAATTTAATCATGGTTATTTATTTCAAATAAACTATGATAAAAAATTTAAAATAAATATTAAGATAAACATAAACGAAAATAAATGATTTTATTTACTTGTATTAGTTTTTTAATTAGAAAATACATGTTTCTGTGAATTACAATATTTTACGCTTTAAATACTTTAGTAAACGTTAATTTCATAATTGTAATGTAAACAATTTACAATTTTAATAAAAATATCACTTTATCATAGAATGTTGGTGTTATTTCGTTTAATTACTAATTGCATAGCTTATAATAAAATAGTAATTATTCTTAAATAAAATACTAAAAATTGAGTAAAAATGGATTGGCAACTAATTCATATGCTAGTCTAATGTAATTGCACCCAATATTAAAGTATTGCTTACGAAAGTGTATGGGGTTACACACATCGAAGTATATTTAGTGACAAGCAAATTAATCTAGGGATAATTCTCAAAATTATTTTAAAAGTAATAGCAATTTTAAATTAGTACACAATAGCTATTGGCTAACCATAACTCGTGTGATGCGAATTGAATAAATAAATGTTGATTAATAGTTATTTTAGAAATTACAATTTTAATATTCTCTAATTTTGAAAGTATTAGTAAAATGAATGCCTAACCTTTTGGTCGTCACCATAATAAACCTAGTTCGAGGTATATGTTAAATCTAGTATTTATTATATTGTAGTACACATTATGCACATTAGTACACATACAGCCAATGGACTGCTTGTATTTACTGTTGAATATCAATAAATTATTATTATAATAAGTAAATATCGCATAAATTTTATTTTAATAATAAATTAAAAAATAAGTTTGTATTTTAAACTTTAAAATCATTATCCTTTATTGTATATCAAATAGGATATACTGTACTAGTGTATTATTTTTATTTGTGTACATGTTCACATTTCTAGTTAGTGCAGTAGGACTTTAAATGATACGTCAGCTATTCAGTTAAGGTTTACGTAACCTTCACTTAAATTGCATGAATAGGCGGTTACTATAACTCTATGTGCAGTATATAAAAGAAAAATATTTTCCTATTTTAGTTCATTGTTTATTATTTGAAACTAATATTACAAAGAAAGTGACAATTAATTGAAATATCAACCATGGCAATTCAAAAATATTTAGATATAGTCAAATATATGTGGCGAATGTCATTGATTTTGATTTATGAATTTATTACTAATTACTTTGATTGGCGCCGACGGGTAACCAGCGATAAGAACCTTAATGGACAGGTAGTTGTGATTACCGGCGCCAACACTGGCATCGGTAAAACAACTGCACATCAGCTAACGCTCAGGGATGCAACGGTATGTGGTCAACATTATAATATTTTTATAATTACAAAATATATTGTTTATAATACAGTTTGTTAGCTTATTTAATTGTATTGACACGTTTATATAAACCATGTTTTTATACAATTAAGGTTTACATCGGGTGTCGGGACCAGAAGAAAGGCGAAGCGGCCGTCAAAGACATCTTAGCATTGAATCCAAAGGCAAATATAAAACTACTTTCGCTGGACTTGTCTTCACTCAAATCTGTCCGCAAATGTGTGGAAGAGTTGTCGGGTTTGGAGACAAAAGTCGATATACTTATCAATAACGCAGGACTCGGAGGGTGTCCAGAGTCGCAGACAGAGGACGGGTTTGAGATGCAAATTGGCACTAATCATCTAGGTATATTTAAAGAACTAGATTTAAATATTAAATATAACAATTAACTTTGAAAAATTCTGTAATTTTCAGGTCATTTCTTATTTACATTACATTTGATACCATTGCTAAAGAAAGCACCGGCGGCTCGTATAGTGAACGTGTCGTCGGAGGGACATAATTTCGGCAAAATTCACCTTGATAATATAAATCTGCGAAACGGCGAGTACAATAATATTTTAGCGTACGGACAGAGCAAACTCGCAAATGTGTTGTTCAGCCGGGAATTGGCCAAAAGGCTACGCCATTCAAACATTAACACATATTGCGTTCACCCTGGTTCAATTCATACTGAATTCAACCGACATATGGATAAGTCCACGTCTAAGGAGGGGGTGAGGGCCGCCATAATGGGGTGGTTTAACCATAATCTTTTAACCACACCATTGATGGGCTCTCAGACCACACTCTACTGCGCTCTCGACGATGATATCGCTGATGAGACCGGATATTATTACAAGTAATTATTATTACTGATTACACATTTGATTTATAAAAGTATAATTTAATTAAATGTTTTATTTATTATTTATTCATAGCAACTGTCGTCGTGTGGATCATATGATACCCGAAGCCAATGACGATAGAACTGCTAAAAGTCTTTGGGTATTGAGTTGTGATTTAGTTAAGCTCGAGGATCATCTCCGGATTTAGTCATAATCACATATTATTATATATACAGTATTATTATGTAATTCTTATAATTCTATACTTTATATAATTTATATGAATTATTAATTAACTAATTGTTTTATTAGAACAAAAATAAAAATGTAATAATATTACGTTAAATTTAATAAAATTATTTTTATAGAATTGAAATTTTGTAATAATATTAATTATCATATGGATAAAATTAAATAACCTATAAATAAATTAAAATGTTAGTTAAGACATACTAGTAAAGTATATTAAATTTACACTGTAACAGCATATTTTACATTCCTTTTACTTGATATAATTATCTTTTTATTTTAAACATTTTAATCAATATACATGTATTTTACTTTATGTAAAAAATAAATAAATAATTAATTAATTTAAAAATAACATAAAGTATTGAATTGAAAATATGTTTCTATACCTAATAACCCTATTATTTAGTGCTTTATAAGTATACAGACATACAACTTACTAAAAATGATAATTTATTATTGATAGTTAATATTACAATATAATAGGGAATATTCTGCAACTGTTAGGCAGCGCGCGCTTATGAGTGGGGGTTATAACAGGGAAAAGGGGTTAAACATAAAGAATATTCATAGGAATACTTGCATTTGTAGACCAATTCAACGATACTTACTTAAGGCCTAAGAACCGAGACCGGAACCAAGGCCTGTAGTTGAGATCCAACGATCCGCGACCGGAACCGAGGCCTGTGGTTGGGATCCAACTGGAGCCGAGTCCGGAGAGGTTTATTATACAACAACACACAAGTTTAGAGCAAACAATACTTTAATAAAACATAGAAAAAGTCATACAAATATAATGATCATAAAAATATGAGGCATCAATAGAAATAGTTATTCACAATAGGACCTACGGCTCGAGAGAGCCGTTGGAGTCAACTCAACTGCTAAAGACCTCAGATGGTAGAGAGCGAGCAAATGGTAAGGCCGGCCCTTATATACCAGTGTTGGCCCAACACTGGAATGCAGGGCCTCAGAGAGAAAGAGCAGGGAATCTAAGGGGAGGTTTGACATTAACCACATGTGAACACAGTGTGAATAACCATTACATTGTAATATCACACAACCTTCACTTGAAGTGCAAAAATGGGCGGTCATTATAACTGTAAGTAAAAGTATATTAGGGAAGAAACATACCATTATTTTATTTCATTGTTAATTATTCTCACATAATAAACAAGTTAAATTATTATAAACAACAATGTCAATCCTATACCATTTAAAATTAAAATACATTTGGCGTATGCTTTATGTTTTGTTTTCTGAATTCGGTACTAATTTTTTTGGTTGGCGCCGACGCGTGACCAGCAATAAGAAACTTAATGGACAGGTAGTTGTGGTGACCGGCGGTAACACTGGTATCGGTAAAGAGACTGCATATCAGCTAACGCTCAGGGATGCAAAGGTATGTGCTTAACATAATAATACATTTTGTTTGTTATATTTATCTTATATAATTTTGTGATCTTATATGTACTTTACATGTATGTTATTTACGTTATTCGGCGTTAAAAATAAGGTATACATCGGGTGTCGGGACCGGAAGAAAGGCGAAGCGGCCGTCGAAAACATCTTAGCATTGAATCCAAAGGCAAACATAAAACTACTTTCGCTGGACTTGTCTTCACTCAAATCTGTCCGCAAATGTGTGGAAGAGTTGTCGGGTTTGGAGACAAAAGTGGATATACTTATCAATAACGCCGGAGTCGCCGGTTGTCCGGAGTGGCAGACAGAGGATGGGTTTGAGATGCAATTTGGAACTAATCACCTAGGTATATTATGTTTATATTGTTACATAATAAAAATATGTCAATTGTTGTATAGTTATATAACTTTCTGGCCATATTCGTTTTAAATATATTTTAAATCTATAATTTTCAGGTCATTTTCTATTTACACTCCATTTGATACCATTGCTAAAGAAAGCACCGGCGGGTCGTATAGTGACCGTTGCGGCTGGTGGACACAACAGTGGTCAAATCCATCTTGATAATATAAACCTTAGGAACGGTGTATATCATCCTATTTTTGCATACACTCAGAGCAAACTCGCAAACGTGTTGTTCAGCCGTGAATTGGCCAAAAGGCTCCGCCACTCAAATATAAACACATATTCACTAAATCCCGGGGCCATTGCTACTGACCTTCAAAGACACATGGGCGAAGCTGACACCCAGGAGGGGGTGGGGGCCGCCATAAAGAGGTGGTTTAAACATAACTTTTTAATGACACCATTGATGGGCTCTCAGACCACACTCTATTGCGCTCTCGACGATGAACTCGCAGATCAGACGGGATATTATTACGAGTAATTAGTGTTAAAATTGTTTATTAATTACAAGTAAATTAAATGTTGTATTCATTTATTTATAGCAATTTTCTTCGCATGGGTTATATGGTACCCGAAGCTACTGATGACAAAACTGCTAAAAGTTTGTGGGAATTGAGCTGCGATTTAGTCAAACTCGAGGAACATCTCAGAATTTAATTATTGTTACAGTGGGAACTCTATGCTGTGAACATTCTATGCTGTGAACTCCTCTATGTTATGAACAAAATCCCAAAACCAAAACACACACCGCATAGACTTAATGTTAAAATAACCTCTATGTTATTAACCCTCTATGTTATGAAAACTCTGTGTTATGAACACATTTTGGCTCAGAATTTGTGGCATTTCAATGTATAACACCCTCTATCCTGTGAACCAATAGCAAACTCATCACACATTACGATCACATGCCAATCATTTATTGTACTGTAATTTGTTTTTACGACAAATTATATTTCAGACATATATTTGTACTTCAGTTGTGAAAAATGTCTGGAAAACGAAACAAATTGTCGATTCAGACAAAATATGAAATAATTAGTAAATTAAAGAGTGGTGTTGAAAGACAACAATTAATGAGTGAATACAAATTGAAAAGTTATTCACATTTAACCAATTTATTGCAAAATGAAGTGAAAATATTTGAAAAATTCGAGGCAATCACCAAAAAAAGTAGTGAAACATCATTTGCCGTAAAACCAGTTAAATACCCGACTCTAGAGAAAGCATTACTGGAATGGTTAAGACAACTAAGAAGTAAGAAAATCAATGTTACCGGAGATTGGATAACATCGAAAGCATCCAAATTTGCCGTCAAATTGGGTATCGATTTCAATGCAAGTAACGGATGGTTACAAAAATTTAAAGAAAGAAATAGTATTGTATTCTTCACACAACACGGAGAGTGTGAATCAGTGAATCCAAATGTTGTAAACAAATGGGCACAAGAGTTACCGGAAGTGATCAAAGACCGCAAACCATGTGATGTCTATTATTTCGACGAAACTTCTTTATTCTTCAGATTATTGCCTTCAAAAACCTATGGGTTTAACAACGAGTCCAGACATGGGCTCAAGAAGTATAAGGAGAGGATAACACTAGTGGTCATCACTAACGCTGACGGAAGTGATAGACATTGCATTATAATAGGAAAGAGTGCTAAACCCCGTGCGTTCAAAGGGAAGAGTTTACCATTGGATTATTATTCACAAAAAAACTCTTGGATTAATACAGAAATCTATTGTAAAATTGTCCGTAAATTCAATGACAAATTGAAAAAACGTAATCAAAAAGTATTGCTTTTTGTGGACAACTGTAGCGCTCATATCGACATCGAGTTGTCTAACATTGAATTCAAGCGATTCCCGGCCAATACTACATCACAACTACAGGTGATTACCAATGCATTAAGTTTTATGAGTGATTGGGAAACGAGAGAGAGAGAGAGAGAGAGAGAGAGAGAGAATTTATTAACGTGTTAACATTAACAATGTTTTATACAGCCTTTAGATTGTGGTATCATTAGATCACTTAAACACAATTACCGCAAGAATTTAATTGGATTTATGATTAATAAATTTGAGACAAATCACGAAATCACTGCAAAAGACATCGATTTGTTTCGTGGCATGAATTTGATAAAAATTGCATTAAAAAGCATTTCAAATAACACGATAATTAATTGTTTCAAAAAAGCTAAGTTTGCATTCAATTCAATGACAACTAATATTGAAATCGCATCGGAAGAAGACAATAGCGAAGACAACGATTTATGGAATCACTTAAAATTTCATACAAATATTGAATTTAATACATTTGAATCCTACGTAAATGTGGACAATAATGAGAGCATTGAATGTACTGATGATATGACCGACGATGAGATCATTGAATACGTTAGCCATGAATGCAATGAAGAAACAGTTGATTCAGACAATGAGACCAATGAATTCATAATTGAAACGCCAATAAGTGCTGCTAAAGCATTGGATCACATCCAAGAGCTACAGATATATTTCTCTCGATTGGATGTCAACTCATTTAATGATAATTTGAATGAAATGCAAACCAAAGTTTTTGAAACTACTTTTAAATCACTAAAACAGTCTAAAATAACTGATTATTTCTCTAAACAATAAATGACATGTAATTCTTAATTAATAAATGAATTTTTAATATAATTAAGTCTACCCTCTATCTTGTGAACACCTCTATGTTATGAACTAAAAGCTCTGGACCCGATCTATTCACAACATAGAGTTCCCACTGTATTTATTTTAAATCGATCATGTTGGTGTGTTCTGCAAACGTTGTGATAAACTTAATTAAAAATAAATTATTTGATTTAAATGTATTAATCTTGTAATTGGATAATAAATGTTTTTATGAAAATTAGTATTTTATATGATTTAATCCTAGTCTATTGATTATACTTTAAAAGATGCTAGCCTATGAAATAAAATATGCGCTAAATAATATTACATTAACAAAAACTTAATAAAAAAGAAATTCTAGTAAAAACACGCGTGATAATATTGGAATTAAAATTGATATATTTTAGTTTTGTTTATTTACATGTTGTTTGCTGTTTTTAATAACATGTGGTTTAACTATTTTTATAGTTAAAAAGTTAAAATTAATCAATTTTGCTTAATTTTACTAATACATGTACATTTTAAAACTTTTATCTGTATACTTGTTAAGTGTATATAATACTTGTTCACATATAAACTTGTTTATTTTGTGTTTGCTTGTAGCCAAATGTTAAATTTAGTACAGTTGGACTTTATAAATCAGATACAAACTATACCGGTATGAATTATATGACATATTAAGTTAGTTATACAGTTACAGTGTATTTGACCTTCGCTTGAGTGCATAAATAGGCGGTTATTATGGCATTCAATACAGTATATAAAGTAGAAAATATAACATCAGTTATTTCACTGTATTTTATAGTTAATTGTAAACAAGTATCATTAATTTAACTAAAAATGTCAATACTCTACCACTTGAAATTGAAACACATTTGGCACATGATAATTGTTGCTATTTATGAATTTGGCAGTAATTTCTTCGGTTGGCGCCGACGAGTGACCAATAATAAGAAACTTAATGGACAGGTAGTTGTGGTGACCGGCGGTAACACCGGTATCGGTAAAGAGACTGCATATCAATTAACACTGAGGGATGCAAAGGTATATCTTTATTTGAAAGTAATAATATTTCGGATTAATGACATTTTAAAAATTATATTTAGTTTATCTAATACAAGTTTATTTATTGCTACTTATATACGTGTATTTTACTTTTGTTATTTAATTAGTTCTACCATGTGTTATTTATATATAAAAATTAGGTATACATTGGGTGTCGGGACCAGAGGAAAGGTGAGGCGGCCGTCAAAGACATCCTATCATTGAATCCAAAGGCAAACATAAAACTACTTTCGCTGGACTTGTCTTCACTCACATCTGTCCGCAAATGTGTGGAAGAGTTGTCGGGTTTGGAGACAAAAGTCGATATACTTATCAATAACGCCGGCGTTGGCTGGACTCCGGAGTGGCAGACAGAAGATGGGTTTGAAATGCAGTTTGGCACTAATCACCTAGGTACTTTAAATATATATTTTAAGAATGATAAATGTAGTTTATATGAACCCTCAAACTTATCATTTTAATCAAATACTCAATCCCTGCCCCTCAATGGTGGCTGAGTAAGGCGTTAAAGTATGAGACTATGACATTTGTTTAAGTTTACTAATTAATTTCACAAATTTTGTAATTTTCAGGTCATTTTCTATTTACACTCCATTTAATACCATTGTTAAAGAAAGCACCGGCGGGTCGTATAGTGACCGTGTCGTCGGCCGCACATATCATCGGCAAAATCCACCTTGATAATATAAATCTCCGAAACGGTATATACAATAAAGCTTTTTCGTACGGACAGAGCAAACTGGCAAATGTGTTGTTCAGCCGTGAATTGGCCAAAAGGCTCCGACACTCAAATATCAACACATATAGCCTACATCCCGGTGCGATCGATACTGACTTTGTCCGACACATTGAAAATCCTAACACCCAGGAAGGGGTGGGGGCGGCCATAAAGAGGTGGTATAAACGCAACCTTTTAATGACACCATTGATGGGCTCTCAGACCACACTCTACTGCGCTCTCGACGATGAACTCGCAGATCAGACGGGATATTATTACGAGTAATTACTAATTAGTGTTAAATTTTTTTATTAATTATATGTAATTTAAATGTTGTATTTTTCTATTTTCACAGCAACTGTCGTCGTGTGGATCATATGATACCCGAAGCCAATGACGATAAGACTGCCAAAAGTCTGTGGGAATTGAGCTGTGATTTAGTTAAACTCGAAGAACATCTCAGAATTTGATCATGGTTATTTATTTTAAAATATTGTTGCAAACATATTTGATTATAAGCGTGATTGTATTTAAACTCATAAGTATTTTAATTTATAAAATAAATGTACAATTAGAATAACCGTTTATAATGTTTTATTGTAATTATTTGTGAAACTAATTTTTGACGCGTTTTGCGCAATATATAGAAAAATATATATTTTATATACAGATTAATCTAATATCTATATTGTAAATTCAACTTTATTTTTTTCTATGTTTAAACTAACTTTATTGAATCATTTTCAATACAATAATATGATTTATTCTAATCTAAATTATATACCGTAAAATAACTTGATCAAATATTTATTATAACTTAAATTGGTAAAATAATTAATTTTTGCATTTATAGTAATTAATTAATAACAAAACAAAAAAATAACAGATAAAACGTGGTAATATTATCTAGTTTAATAATTCTAAGCAATACCATTTTTAGGTAACATCTAATCTAAATAAATTCATTTTAAATATTGACAAGTGAGTCAATTAATTACAATTTAATGCATTTCAAATTGACCAGGGGAATGTGAAACACAGTTTGAAAGGTTGGAGGAGAGCCGAGCTCTGCGATGGCGTCTGGATTGAGGCGCCGGACGTTTGGATTGAGCGCCACATCAAACATCAGGTTTTGGATTAACGCCTGTTTCTCCGGATTATCTTCCGATGATATTAACGGCACAAATATCTGCGGAAATTGTTTCCCTGGATGTGAATTAACGAGTAATTATTAAAGTGATTATATAAATATTAATAAAACATACTAAATAAAATAATATACAGTATTATACTGTATGAATATACAGCATAATAAGATATAAAAATAATATCCACAATAATTTATAATGTATTACTAATAATATATTCTTAATATTTACTATATGTTAATTATAAATAAATCAAAAAGTGTATCATTTAACATACTAGCGAGAAATATTTTAGCATCAAGGTGCCATTCGTAGAGATACTGTTGTTTGTTCAGCACTTGAAAGCCGGTGCCCTCACACGCGCGCACCATATCGTCGATCTGTAGGTCAGGCGACGGCGTGCGGAAGGACTGCAAACCAAACGCCCGCTTCTCCTCATCGGTTATGCGAGACATGAGGTCCGGTGTCAGCGGATATGTGGCCACAAGTGACCCGTTTTTGGCCAACAATCGGCTCATGACATGCATTAGTCGCGGTTTATCCTCAAAGAAATGTAAGGCTCTGTTGCTTACAATTAGCGATACCTTAGACTCCAATGCCTTCAATACAGGACTCATTTCATCCCACGTTTTGCTCATGTCTTGAAGCAAATACTCCACAGAATCCATAGGTTTGTGGTTCTGTTCGGCAAACGACAGAAAATCGGCGGTAATATCGACACCAATAATGCGGTTGTGTTTCACCGATTTGGCTAAAAGTTCAGTCATATAACCAGTTCCGCAACACATGTCCACAATTATATCATATTCCCTGCGAAAACATTTACAATTATTTCTTTTATGGTTATTTAAATTAATATTTTTCTCTCAATTAAAATTTACAAAATCAATGTTTACGGCCATTAAGTAAATTTAAAGCAAATTTAAGCAAAAAGTAAATTTTCAATTTTATATATCTCATTTTAAAGTAAGTGATTTTGTAAATGTTAAATTTTTATAAAATCTTGTATGGAACTAATCTAATAGTCTAGCATTTTTTGTGATGTTCCTCGAGCGGCAATAGTGCCAGAATAATGCCTTCTTAGTATTATAATTAATTCTACCCTATATTACCATAATCAATTAGCTTGTTTAACACAAAAAAAAACATTTATTTTAGCCCCTGTCTGCTTAAGGTTATATCTTATTATAATTTATATAGCAATCAAATACAAATTCTGTCCCTCAGGAACACTATATACCTGTTATCGGCCATCAATTTGCTGACCAATTGTCTGGCGTTCTCCTGAGCACCAGTCGATTGTTTCTCATATTCAATTGCCGTCACATTCATTATGGATTATAACTAATTATCACTTTAACAGCAAACTAATTATCTTGGTAACTTGGTACTATTAGCTATAACAAAATTAATGCCCTACTGTTTTTAAGCATAATTAGTTTATAAAGCATGCAATGATATGGTATTTTTTGCAAACATTGAGAATGTTTTATTAATATAATCACTTCAATAATTACTCGATAACTTACATCCAGGGAAACAATTTCCGCAGATATTTGTGCCGTTAATCTCATCGGAAGATAATCCGGAGAAACAGGCGTTAATCCAAAA